AAACTGATCACTCACTGGTGTCATGGATACATTATAAAAGTGTCCAGTGGACCTCTAGGGTTCCAGTTGATAGTCAGCCCCAAACAAAGCACAACATGCGGCTCTTCAGCAAAACAAGACACAAAAACGTGTTTAAAATTGAAAATAATGCTTCAATATAACCTGATATTGTACCACATGTATACAAGGTGGAGATATCAACACAAGCAGCGACGCCTATTCACCATTTAACGCCTGACAAGGTCGGATTACTCATGCAGTGATGCACCAGTTTCAACCCGGAGCCACTCCTGGAACATAAATCACTGGTGCTTAACGTGCCCTGCAACAATGACACACATGCTGCGGAGCAATATAAAAAAACAACATGTAAAAATTCCAATGAATTCCCTGTTTAATCATTAGAATACAAAGCGAATGGAAACAATACGCGGAGAACGGAGTCAAGCCACTTATGGGCTTTTGTCAGGGCTTACACCCACAGAGTGCTCAGGACAGTGTTCGGCTCACAGAGAAGTGAACTACAGCGCAGTGAGGCGGCGTCTAGACTGAACGCTTATCAACTGAATTAGCCCTCTAGGTTTCATCTGAAGGAAAAGAGAATAATCTTATTAGACACCATAAAAACTATTCCCGTGTATGCGCTCCTGTGTGTGCTTGCTTATGTGTGCGATTTTTCTTTATTTTTTTATTTTTAATACAGGCTTCCTATCACAATCCGCCAGTATTTAACACTCCCACACACATGCATGGAGGCACATTAATATCCTTGTGAAGTAGTTAAAGAAATTAGATCTTTTGCATTAAGAATAATCACATTTTGTTTGTTTGAGAATCACTATGAATAATTTCCAGAGATTTAAGCTCATCCTCTCTTTCCCGCCTTCACTCTCTGCCTTGATTTATTTCCTGTCTTGAGATCATCTGTTTTCTTCAGGTCCCCCTCCCCCCTCTGTAATAATGGTAGATTTTCTGTCCTCCCTCCCCCCGTTGTGTTTGTATGCCCTAGCAGCAATAATGGATCCTTTCAGACTCATCACTACTACTGTTAACACAGACGCCTCGCCTCCCTCCTCCTCTACTCACTCTTTCTGTCAGACAGGACAGATGAATGACTTCTTCTTCATTGTCCCCCTTTCCTCTTTTTCTAAGTGAGTAAACTCATTCATACGACTTTACGGCCTCAGTTACACACACTAGAACACAGGCAGTGCACTGTATTAGTAGTGAATTAGGTTCTACACTTTAGCAACGAGCTGCTGTACTGCAGCATCAGGGAGCTTAATGCCCGGCTCGAAAGCACAACAGGAAGAGTTGTTGAGGTCTTTGGAAACAAGCGTCCTATTCATTCTCTCTTTCCATAAATCTTGCGGTATTTAGCAGTAAAGAGGGAAGGGAGATGCTTCTAAATGCTACTTCCACTTGCTAATTGGCACTAAACACAAAGTACAGATGAGGCTGACGGAAATAATGTTTTGCAGCTTTTTGGTCATAAAACCAAAGTACTGGACAAGTTCAAATGTTGAACTGATGGTGGCTCTGTATGAAAAGTTTTAACGGTTTACCAAAGTTAACAGAATTTATCCTGAAGGGATCATAAGTTGGGAGTTATAGAATATGCAGCATATGGAACAATTTGCCACTGAGCACCCTTAATTGTGTATCAGACATGACATTTCAGTTGCAAATCTGCAGACTTGAGAGTTTAGAGCATCTTACTCTACATGAAAAAATGTGTTTTGGAGCATAACATTATTCCTCCTCCACACCTCCTCCTCTAACTTTATCTCGCTCCCTCTTGTTCTTTCCATTTCTCTCACTGTCTCACTCCCTATCTCCAGAAAGTGCAGTTTCCAGCAGATATAATGATAGCTAAACTAAATCCATGCAGTTTAATAGTAACAGTGTCAGATGCAGCAGATGTGAAGTTCCTTGAGCCGTGATGTCAGGAAGCTTAGAGGTCAATATACGCTGCTCAGATTTCACAAGAAAAGCAGAGTCAGACGAGGCTAAAGTAGAGATTAAATTTGCTGTTTTTTTCCCAGGCACGTTTGTTGTCTCGTGTGATATTAGTGATGTGTCTGTGTTGAGTAATACACAGTTTAATAGGCAGATAGGTAGAGAGGTGGTTGGGCGAGCATGCTTTCCTGTGCTGTCCTCATTCCTGGCACAGGCTCAGTTCAGACAGATGGTCAAGAGGGCTTTATGGAAGCGTATTCCCCCTCCTACACTGCACACACACACACACACACACACACACAAAATAATGCCGGCCGAGTGCCACAGGAGTTGACATCTGCCTATAATGAAACATCATTACATAGTATTAGTGAAGGCTGCGGGACAGTTAACCACTTACAACTTTGTTTAAAAGACTGTCTGTAGATTTACAGTCATTCATCGAAGCTCCAGATAATCACCTTCACACTGTGGCGGCCCCCAAATGGCACCAAGAAATTACTATTTGATTGCTTTTTTTTTTATTACCCAGAAATGTAACGTCTGTGAAACAGCACAGTCATCTGACCTACATTACTTCCGAGAACAAGACACTCCCTCCCCTCCCAAGTTTTCCCGCCACTGTCTCCACACCTGACACCAAAATTTGATTTGGCCAGAGAGGGTGAATTCTAGTCTCCAGGATAACAAGATGCTCTTATGTGTTTGTTTTTAGTTTTTCAGCACTTCAAGGAGCTATGTATCTTCATGCATATAATTCAAAATTACAACTCCCCGAAGAGATTAGTCAGATTAGTCTCCCAGTGATGCCATACCCCCGTCGAGCTATCAGGGTGGGAAGTACTCGGGTTTTCCTGTCGCCGCTGCAACCTACATATGACAGTCGTTTGATTCAGTAACAGAAGCCTCCGGATCAGCTTAACGCAGGCCTGCAGGGGAATCAAATCCCTCCTAACACACGAGACTCCTGCAGGAGCATGATGTGAATGTCACCGCCTGTTTGTGGGTGTGTGTGTGTGTGTGTGTGTGTAAGAGGGAGAGATTCAGCAGAAATGAATAAGAGGTTATGTGTCAAGGCAAGGAAAGAGAGCGCGAGGGCACAGAGAGAGAATTCAGATACAGAACTCGCGGACAGACGGACACAGATTTTTGACAGTCACAGAATAGTGAGATTTACTTTATCTATAACAACCAGATGGCATTTTAGTACAAACCCATGTAAGCACGGCTGACACATGCTGTAAATACTGCTGACATTGATGGAAAGGCTGTTTTGGTTACGTAATGAAAAAAACAGGAGGTTGAGAGGGTCATTTTCCTTGAAAGGTTATGATCGGTAAAAAGGAAATTAAAGCAAGAGCATGCACCTACACGCTATGTTCGTTTTAAAAAAAATGCCTGATTAAGATTCAAAGGGGGCTGATTTCATAAGAAGCATGATGACCCATAACATTATCTACTTCTTTACATCTTTATATGTGTTTGGCTAGGGTAATGTAGGGACTATGAATAACAGAGGGATTTAAAATGTGTTTACATGTTTGCTATTTTCTAGCTCTGAAGTTAAACATAAAAGAAATGCAGACATTTCAACTATTGATGTCTGAAGCTGGTGACACAGCCGACAAGAGAGATTTCAACTTATAATAGAAAAATGTTCTGTAGCTCACATTGTTTTTCTTACTATTATCACTGAAAATACCAGTCAATGGCAAAATAGAACATAACAGAAGTATAACCACTGTGTGAACAGCTTAGGATTTGCAACACGAACATAAATCGATATTAAAAAGGGGTTGATATTCAAGCTCTTAACAGTACTCTGGTGGAGGAGCGTTGTCTGCTGACATTTTTATCTGCATTGGTCTAGCCTTGTTTATCTCAATGTGTGTTAGTCTTTTTATCTGTCTGTCTGTCCATCATCAGTGTCTGACGTATCAACTCTGGGATAAATCAAGTCCCTGCACAGTACGAGCTTCTGTAAAATGTTTTTATTCCTGTCTAGGTAAATTCGGAAAATGCCAAATTTATTTATCTGATCCCCCCAAAAACACTACTCCATCCAATGAGATCAGTGTCTGCTTCACTACACTGTGAGCCCTTAGTGACCGCTCCGTCATGCCTGCGCTTTTAATCAGCTGCGTCTCACTGAGTGGCTAATGCCATTAAGCAGCAGACACTGGTCTCTGGCCCCCTTTCATTCATCTACTCCCTGCATCCCTTCTTCTATTCTCGCCTATCAGAGCCTTTAAGCCATTATGACATGATGCAAGATGCTGCTAATGGAAAAACAGGACGTTTGTTTTGATTTTACTTTCTAGTGCTAAACATTAAACCACAGTTGTCCTTCCAATTATTCCTTTCATCCATCCAAAATATTTGTTTTTGAGGACATTCATGATGCATATATTGTTAATTAAGACCCATGTTATTTCAGATATGGTCTTGGGTTTCACAGTATGACTGTGAGGGTCTCTACCCTTTACTACTCCTACATGAAAAATATTTTTTCATGGATCTGAAAAAGACCAAAACAAGGCTTTAGGCCCAGTTCTTTATCTTTATGTCTTAAAGGAATTGTTTGACATTTTGGGAAATACGCTGTCTATAGTAAGTGTGTAGCTACCGGCCATCAGCAGGTTAGCGTAGCTTAGCACAAAGACTAGAAACTGGGGGAAACTGCTAGCATGCCTCTGTCTAGAATCCATCAACCAGCACATCTAAAGCTCACTAATAAACAGACATGTTAAACCACAATTAAACCCAAACCTATGTGTTTTTTTATATACTTTTTTAGGGTTTGAGACTTTTAAAGGTAGAGGCTAGCTGTTTCCACTTGTTTCCAGGCTTTATGCTAAGCTAAGCTAACTGGCTGGTTTAGGGAGGGTGTTAATCTCTCCTCACTCAATACTGGACAAAATGTTTCAAAAACAATTCCTATAAGTGTCTAACTTTAAATAAAGTTTATGCAACTGCTCCACACTAATTATTTATCCGACTTATTCTCTCTTGTGCCCCCCCCCCCCCACCCCCACCATCAGGCTCCTGTTTCTGGGTGGCGGTGCTGGATGGACGCGTGGTGGGGATTGTGGCAGCACAAGGCCGCGAGGACGACAACACGGTTGAGCTGCGGCGCATGTCGGTGGACTCTCGCTACCGTGGCAAAGGCATCGCAAAGGCCCTGGGTCGCCGGGTCCTGGAGTTCGCCGTGCGCAACAACTACGCCGCCGTGGTCCTCGGCACGACGGCTGTCAAGTTGGCCGCCCACAAGCTGTACGAGTCGCTGGGCTTCCGCCGAACGGGCCAGAGCGAGGACTACAGGCTCCCCGGGATGAGCCGCTCGCCGCTGGAGAGGCTCTTCTTCCAGATCCGCTACAGCCGCTACCGCCTGCAGCTCCGTGAGGAGTGAGAGGTGACAGGGAGAGGGAGAGAGAGAGATGGAGAGGGGGAGATGGAGAAAAAGAGAGGGACAGAGAGAGAGAGAGAGAGAGAGAGCAACAACCCTCCTTCACCTGAGAGCCCCGACCGACCGCATCCTCTCCTCTGACAGCTTTTATTTATTTTGTGTCATTAGAGATAACTTCGAGTACTACTTAACACTTCTACTACTTCATCTTCAAAGTCACTAACGTTTTCATTACTATTATGCTTTTGTTGCTGTTGTTTTTGTATTATACTTTTACATTTTTAAATAAGAGTTTGTTTCTTTTCCTCTATTTTATTAAGCTATTTTTTTTTGTACCTTTACCCCTCCCTTTCCATTGTGGGAGAAAAAAAAACAAATTGGCCTTTATAAAAGATATTTTACTGGCAACCCAACTAGGTACCCCTCCCCTGCCCCCCTGCCCCTTTGGTTTTAAGATGATAAGATGATTGGACTCTGATCAATACTTCCCCTTCATTACAATTCCACAATGCCCTCTTTTACCCCTCCCCGTTACCTCAAGCCCTCCCCTTCCCTCCCACATTCTTCTAATTTCCCCACAGTAAAATTCAATGGACGGGTTTTGACACAGGAGAGTGCAATGAGACATTTGCATTCTGTGTCATTGGGGGGTTGGACAGAGCCATGGATGGGTTGGGAGGGGCAGATATGGCTTCCTCGAGAGCAAAAAAAAAAAAAAAAAAGTGGTGGTGGGGGGAGCTTGTGGTACACACTCTCTTTTACAAAAAGCTCTGCAATGTTACATTTTGTGTGTGCATTGTGGACAGAGCGTGGTCTCTCACACACACACACACACACACACACACACACACACACACACACACACACACACACACACACACAAACCAAGTCATTTTGGCTTTTAACCAGACTCTCAAGACACCATATTGAAGCACAGCAAGAGTGTGTTACTGATCCCCATAGCGAGAGAGAAGGATGACAGGATGGTTACCGGAATATGCACTGTGTATCCTGCGTCCTGGATGGATTCGAATCAACACAGTGCATCTTCCTCACACACACGTCCATCCCTCTCTTCGTTCTCCTCGTTATCCTCCTCATGATTTTGATTGGATCTCGCCTTCCTTTCTGTTGTTTTTTTTTTCTTCTGGATCTATCCTCAGTTAATTAACTGCTTTTCTCACTGAAGCTGTGGAGAGGGTCTCTGATTGGTTGAGGTGACGGGAGGGTGGAACTTTCTCGTTGCAGTGTCACGCTGACAGATCCCAAGATACAATATAGCTGCATGTCAGAGCTTGTCTGTGTGTGTGTGTGTGTGTGTGCGTGATTGTTCGGAGTATGTGACTATATGTGTGAGTGTGTGTGTTTGTTTGTGTGTTTGATGAGGCCATGGTCAGACATTTAGACCATGAGCTCAACAGTGTATGAGGAACAATTAACCTATTTTTATTTTGCGTGAAACAGACACGCACCTTTCTTGCTATGAGTCGAGTATTATCTAACTAAAACATTACTACTTTCTATGTGTACTTATAAATTGTTTACTGACTGAAGAAAGATAAATTCTAACATTTTGAATATGTTTAGTATTTGAATGATAATTAGTAATTTTATATCTTTAAAATAAACATATTACCACATTGTAATATGCAAATTTTTCCGTCAAAACTACGACAATTACAAAGTAGCTGCAGTCTACACTCCACATACTTAATCCAGGTTATTGGGGAACAACTTGGGTAAGACATGAATACTAGCAATACTTGCAAACCTACAGTACGTAACTGAGCACAAATAGCAAATAATTATTTAAACCAATATAACTGAATTAGTATTCCTCCTTCCCCATGTATTTATATTGTGTATACAGTTAAAAAAAACTCATGTAGCGAAACAAAACGTCAGAAGTTTCTCCCATAACACCTCTCTCCATCTCCATCCTCTGACCATACAACCAGCAGTAGATTCAGCCATCCACGACTCTGAGCCTAAGTTCTGTCGTCATACCCATTTGTAAAAAGTAACATATAAAGCAAAATACAACAAAAAAAAAAACACAAAAGATTTAAAAAAAGAGACAAAAAAAATTGAATACAAATGTAATCGTCATAAAGTTAGCACTGACCCTCCTTGCCTTGCCACCCTTTTCTCCCCCAAACTCTCCCTGCCTCCCATTCATGAATCTGTCTGCAACCCTGGGCTAGACCCCACACCTTCCATTTGAACCCTGCACACCCTCCACTGACCTTTGACCTTCCCCTGTCCCAGGCCACACCCATTTCCTGCCCATCTTTGCATGCGCCACAGAGCCTTGCTGCACTGCTTTTATTATTCCATTTGAAGCTTGTTGGACCAACCCTTAGACCCCGCCCCCTTACTCTGATGTCATCTAGGCAGTGTGACGCTTTCGGGAAAGGCTGGTGTGCCAGGTTGCAAGGATGATGTACGGTTGTATGAGTATCGGTGTGATGCAGAAGACACAGAAAAGTGAGAAAGGTGTGTGTGTGTGTGTGTGTGTGTGTGTGTATTGCAGACATAGGATATACTCACCAGCTGCAGCACTGCCTGGATGACATAATGCCTGCCAGCCAACCAACTGTAGAATGCAAAAAGCAATGCAAGTGTGGCATGCCTCTGTACCCGGTGTGTGTACGGTGCCTGCCCTGGAAAAGTGTGTAAAAAAAAAAAAAAAGTTAACTAATTTATATACTATATATATAAATATATATATATAAAAAGAAAATAAGCTTCTTTTTTTAGATGAACATATAAAAGAAATGTGTGTTTCTTTGTTTGGGAAAAAAGAAAAAATTGTACCATTTGCATGAAATGTGTCTTTGAATGCAAATATAACTTTTAGGGGAGAAACTCCTAGCACATGGCATACAGTGGAACCATAGACTTGTCATTTTTACAATGGTTTATTTTTTATTTTAAATAATCTTAATTCTCTGGAGTCAAGACAAGGGCGTGAAATTAATACCAGCCACAAGCCAGTGCTCATAAATCTTTAGGAGGTAGCCAACCCTTGTTTAGAAGTTATATTCCATTTAAAAGTCTTGCTAAGCTGAAAGCGGCTATTGATATTCAGATTTATCTGTCACTGGCTGGAGGACTGAAAAGTATCATAGCTCTTTTTCTATTAAACCAGCTTGTGCAGGACTTGAGATCATCTTATGGGCATTCGGAAAATGATGCAAGAGAAAACATGTATTCCCATGCAGTACATAGTGCAAAAATCTTGTGGTTCTTTACAAGCACCGAGTGAAATATTTTTCACCCAACAAGCCCTTTGCCAGGTTTATCATATACAGATAAAAGGAAACACAGGCAGCAGGATAGGGTATTAAGTTTGCAGTGACGGTCAAATGTTTAGACTTTGTTCCAGGTGACGTAGGTAATCACTGTTTCCTGTTAAAAGTATCCTCAAACCCCGATCTGAACCCGTGTCAGCTAAATGCCTAAAATATTTAGTACATCCTAGTTTCTTTTACATCTAACTTTGGATTATACTTTCCACAATATATGTTGTTTTTTTTTTTTAGGGATGTAAATACAAAACCCCCACAAAAGGACAAAAGTTTTTGACCTTAGCTACTTTAAGCCGTTGAGATGCCTATGTTTGTCAGGTCCCGTGAAACTAAAGCTTCGTCACCTTCCCTCCCTTCGTACAAGCCATGTGTTCAAGCCACGTGTAGAGGAGGCTTAACTACCGACAAGTTCTTTGTCTTTTAATTGGAGCCAATCTTACGATTGAAAACATAAAAAAAGCAAGGCACAAATGCACTGAAAGCATCGAACAGTATATATAGTATAGATGTTTTCACTGGGCCGACATGTGGAGGGTGCCTCACAACACTTTTGATGCATCTGCTTTGAACTTGGTTGTTGCTGGAGAGCCAAAAGAGGACCAGGCTGTATTTTGTGACTTTTCTGGAGCAACAGCTACCACTGACGTTCCTACAGTAGTTACAAACTTCCTACTGAGCTAAGCAGGAAATTAGGCAACAGGACACAACAACCAAACTACAGTGTGAACACTATGCTGGATGTTTTTATGGTCCCTGTCCAAAATGTAATAATATCAGAACATAAATCAGACTATAAACTATCTATTTCTTCAAAAAATAAAATCTGAAATTACTGTTGTGAAATGTAGGCTTCAGTGGTGCTGAGGCTTTAGATTCCCTCACAGAAAAACCACAGCAGAGGCACATTTGTGTCAAATAACTTATGTCAGTTATCACTGCTAGGGTGTTTAGGTCCTTGCTGTATGACTCAACCCACTCTTTATAAGACTTGGGTGAGGTCTGAAGGTTGAGTGAGAGGTGGATTTTGCTGAGGTGGATTATAAAATAAGCTGCGGTCTGGATCTTTTGGAAGAATGTGAAGTCTGTCAATTCTGAGCCATTTCTGCTGCTGCCAATCTCAGTTTTTGCCAGATGAAATTTAAAACACTTCATGTATTTTTAGGAGAAATGATTATCCATACTGGTACGTATTCTGAACAAAGGTAATATCATTCAAAACGCCTTTGCCAAGGCCTTATGCACTGGAATCAAACGCTGGAGTTCAAATATCTTGTGGACTGCATGGCTTAAGGTAGTTAAAGGGTGATTTTTTTAATTGTAAAGATGAAGTGCACTGACTATAATGCATTTATTTCTAGTCTGAGCAATGTCTGTTTTCTACTTCATGTGAATGCTATGCCCTGTGAAGTCTCACCTCCCATTTAAAAACTGGTAACGCATACTTGATGTTAGAATGTAGTAATTAAACTGTATGCAACTTCTACCAGAGTGTAAATTTAGATACAAACAATTCCTCTGAAATGTTCTGCTGATGTACAATCCAAACACAATCCCACTTTTTTTTTTTTTTTTGTTTTCTTTGTTTTTTTTATTTGGTTTTCTGTGATTTGTTTGAGTGCGAGTGTGCTGTCCTATTGGTTGAGGTTTGAGAAGGTATGCTGCATAAAGGCCTCTCCAGCTGGAGAAGGCTCTTTTAGTTTAGAGTGCTTTAGAACCCAAAAATGATCATCTGATGCTCTCTCTCTGATGGCAGACACAGAGGCCCAAGCTGAGGCTGAAGCCAAAGCTTCAATTTCAGCAGTTACAAAAAAAACACAACCCTAAAATGGCCACATTAATAACCAAAACGGTAAAAATATCAATAATTGTCACGATCAGTGTATCAGTTTATCTACTGGTGAAGGAGCATAGAATTCAGAACTGCACAAATGTACAGATCCTGTGGGTGTGTTGTGTTACTATGATGGTGTGTGTCCATGCTCAACAGCCTTGGGGACGAACACTCACAGGCATGAATGTAAACTGCCAACATTTTAGGTCTTAGAAAGATTTTTTATGTTTTAAATCTTTCCTGGTTGCTTTTTTACTTTATGAATGAGAAGAACAGTGGGGGAAAGGGTAAAAAGCAGCTATTGGTTCTTTCATTAAGTGACTAAACCACTACATTAGATGTTAAACATTTTGTGTGATTGTAAATAGCCGTATCTCTACGTATTGTTAATGTATTATTTACTGCAACCTGTCATCTTTGCTGGTTTTAACCAACCCTGATGGAGTTCATTTTTGTCTCAGAAGATGGCTGTCGCCTGGAATGTTCCACCTAACGAGGAGGGCGAGGGGTGAGGGAGGAATGTGCCACATTGGCAGTTAAATGGGGGGGTGTGGGGGGGGTGTGGTGGGGCGGCGGGAGGAGGTCTGCAGCAACAGAGCTCCACAGCATGGACTCCCTCTCTCTCTCTACCTCTGGTGAGGATTTTGCTCCACTGTGGCAAATACAGAAGGACTCACTTTGGACTGAGGCCACAGGTGCCAAGAACACATAAGCACTTGTAGCACAACTGTGTCTTGTTTTGCTATTACAGTACAGATAGTTTTGATTTTTTACATTTCCTATGAAGAATATGGATAAAGTTTCTCTTTCTCCTGTATTATTGACTGTATGTATCACAGCATATATACAAGACATGATACCATAGTGTATAATTCGTACTACGACCCATGGCTATTTTTGGAGGTGAAATTTGCCAAAGGTGACAGTAATTGCTGCATTTTTATTCCTTATGTGGCTATGTTTTGTTTAACACAATCCTGTACTTACTTGGTATTATTTGGCAAAAATCCTGCCCACGTGCCATCTAATCAAGCAATAAATACAAACAAACAGACGAAACCACAAAATAATGACATACTATCAACGATGATTTTATTAAATACATGAAATGCTGCATTGATGTTATATCCCTTATACTGTACCTATTAATGATGCCGTCACAGTATTGGCATTGCGACATTACCACTCATTATATCGAAGCCGGAAGGGGTGTTTGATTGTAAAATGTTTCTGTTTTTTGTATTTTTCTTTACAAGGAGGTGTCAAAGGTGTGTTTTTCTAAAACTCAAAGTTGAAGTACACAGGTGTACCTCTGCATATTTGTACAGATGTCAATAGGAAAAGGGGTAAATGACAAGAGGGGGATAATGGATGCTAAAGAGTGAGCAGTTCAAGCAGACAGGAAAAAGATGGCGTAGCCACACTCTGAAAGTGCAATCTGCTGTAAGTCTCTCAACTGAGCTTTTATCTAACCACAAAGACTTCCGGTTAACTTGTATCACTGAGACATGCACTGCAACGTCACTACCACCACTCTGTTAGTACGATTGAAAATAATCAAACATGCTGCAGCTGCCAGAATCGCAACTATCAACCATGTTGACTTTTCTTACAAGTGAGATTCAATGTCTTTTTTTGAATCTGCAAGTTAGTAACTGTAAAGTTGTAAAGTATATTTTACTGTAAATAGCATCTGGGGGTCATTTTTACTCCTTTTGTAACAGAAACTGTGGATTTAAAATATATAAAAATATATTTTAAAAGATATTTACAGCACTAATAAAGAGATTCTACAGTAGTGCAGGTGTCTTCATCTGTATTACCTCATGACAATCCCATACTGACTAATGGCTGCCACTTTCAGGGGCTACAGTGAACGCCATCTTAACCTTGTGTCTCTGTCCCACGCTGATGGGTTCAGACACAGCCTTCCTTGTCCTGCCTGTCTGCTTGAACTCTCAAGTCGTCAGAGAGAGCATAAAACACTGCACAGCAGCAGCTCTGTTAGCTTATAGCACACACCGGCTACGGCTATGAATATCAGTGGCTCTGGACTGAGCTATCTAGCAAGCTGCTGCAAAGCAAGGGGCTCTCTCTGCCCTGGAGCCCTGTCATGGCTGTTGTCTGTTGCCAGGAAACCGACCCGCACAAAGCACAGCAGGGGACAGATATGCAGCCACACTGTGGGGAGGCAGGCAGGTCAACCAGCCGGCCATGATAGAGGAATGGAAGAAGGGATTCATAGATAGATGGATGAGATGGATGGACATAGGGGGAGCAGGGGGAATTAAATTATAACTGAGGGAACTTTGGAAAGCAAGGGTTAAGGGACCTGGAGGGGAAGGAGGGGTGACTTGGCTACAGTGAGGAATTTGACGAAAGAGGCCCTTAGGCATGTAAAGTAGAGCGGTGAGTAAACAGTGCGTGGGGAGAGTTGGGTTAGAGAGGTTACAGGAAGAGAAAGAGAGGAAAAGGGGGGTCAAATTTATGGACAGATTCTCATGTACAGTAATAAAGGTCACGCATGGTGTGGTGATTTGGCAGATTTAGAGATTCCCAGGGAGACAGTGCTTAAGATGAAGATGAAGAGACTAGTAGTAGACGCTGTTGGTACAACCGGTCTGCCCGACCTCAGTGAGACTGCAGTGACAACCTGGTTTTTATTGGGGTCTATTAGCTTTCAGTTCCCTTTCTGCCATTCCTTTGGAAGACTGCTGTATTACCACACTGGGATTACTATTATTATTGTGATTATTAACCCTTTCTTTTATACTGACAACAACTGGAACACTGTATAGATGTAAAGATGGCATTTCCTGCATTATGACGATGATTGAAACATGGATGTACATATATTGTATCAATTAAAAATGATGATGCATTAAGCTTTTATATGTTGCAACAGTAAGCAGATTTTTTTTTCTTGCCAAGAGCAGAGGAAGGGAAATAACACAAACGCTGAGAATAATTTGAGATAAATATTAGAATTGAAATGATATAAGTGTCAGCCGTGAGGATATGTGCCGCGGGGTCTACTTACACATCTCACAGTCACCATGGCAGCCCCGGGAAGCTCATGTGGTTGCCCTTGACAACAGAGGGACCCCTCAGGCCTTGGCTCCTGCAAATGGCCCAGGTCATTAAAGTGAAGGCATCACTCAGTCAAATGATCATAACCTCATTCACATCTTTTAAACGTAGTAAAACAGAAGCTAACAGGTACCGTGTAATGATTCTCTAGCTGCCAGACATTTTATCAGCTGAAAACAAAACGAAAACAAAAAATGCTCCAAGTGACGGTGGCGCAGAAGTACAGTGTGCTGTTAGACACAAACAAAGGCTTTTTTATTAGTATTTGCTTTACCTCCATACCTACTTTAAACACCCCTGCTCCAAAATTGCAGAGTGCGCTCTAGAATTTGCACATACCGGTCTCACGCTCCCCCTCTCAAAGGGGGAAGGCCGTGCACCCTTAAACCACAGAACAATGAGAGAATAGAGGGCCAGATTTCCATAACACTGTCCAATGCGCTAGCTCTGAACTGCTCAGACTGACCTGGTAAGAAAAGCTTCTCTGACACATGGAGAGCACATTCCTGTCAGTGGGTTCAACAGGCAAAGTGAAGGGGCCGTTTACACTGAAAAAGAAAGGAAACTAGAGGAAACGTAAATACATGACGAGACATTTCTGTTGGCGTTTCTGCTGGATACCCTACATGCCACCTTTGTACCAACTTAAAAAGTGACAGCTTCTATAATTAGCAGCCAACACGAGGTGACATTTCCAATAGGTAACGGGGGTAAGGCTTTGTTAAAAATGCCACTAGGTGTATGGTTCTTCCTAGACCCATTTTGTAGGCTTAATTGGAAGACAGTATAAAAGGGGCAAAAGAGTCTCACTGTGGCTGCCAGAGACGAGGAAACTCGGTCAGTGTGCCTGGAAGCCGGTGACTGTGTGTGAGTGCATTCATGGCGGCTGCGTGGATAAAAAAGACTGTGTGCTTCTTAAGTGTGTCTGTGTGTGTGTTGTGTTTTTTTTTTGTGTGTGTGTGTGTGTGTGTGTGTGTGTGTGTACGCTTGTGGACGAGCGTTCGTGGAATGTGTGCGTGGCTCGAGAAGACAAAGGGGGGAGTGGGCTAGAGCCAAGTGAGCAGATAAAAGATGAGCTGGGGAGAGAGCGAGGCGCTGGATCCGCACGGCTGAGCAAAATTAGATCATCTGCTTTGAATCAGCTGAATGCAACACAACAAAAAGGTGAAGTCCCTGAAAATATCACAGCCTCATGGCATTAACATAACAGAATATCGGCTGAATACAACCGGCTTTTTATAAACTCTCCATTGCTCTTTTCCGTCTGGAATTTCTCTCTTCAATCATTCATTATAATATTTTCAGGGAACTAAACTTATTTGTAACATTTGTTGAAATTCAAGGTTATTATGCTGTTTAAACTGTTCTACGCCCTCTGTTAATAAACTAAAAAAACCTCTTAAAGGTAATATGCAAATTAGGAATTAATCATGGATTATAACATACAAAGAAAACAAGGATAAGGAAATTAAAACAGTTGAGAGAGGTCATTGAGTTTATCAGGCGGGAACCTGTCAGAGACAGAATGAATGCAAGCTTTATTCAGCGTGAACAAAGCATACAAACAATAAATACAAGGATATATATAGAACACAGTTCATCAGGTATAGCTTAACTGCTACATTTTTTATTTTTTTTTAAATCGTACTAGCAACCAATTTAATGAACCAACAAATATTAAGCACTCTCTCAAATGTGTAGCTTCACCTTGGCAACAAGGCAGAGAAAACAGCACTGGTCTTAACAACAGAGTGTGAAAACTAAGGAGGAGAGGAGGAGGATAAGGAATCTTTTTTTGTAGGATGGAGAGAGAGAGAGAGAGAGAGAGAGAGAGAGAGAGAGAGAGAGAGAGAAAAGGACTGGTGCAATCCAGTCCTGCCGTTGCCCCCGGATACGGATGGAGTGAAGGCAAGAACTGGGAGCTGCAGCTGCCTGGTTTCCATAGCAATGTGGATGCAGGACAAGTGAAGAGAGAGGGAGAGATAGACTGTGAGACTATAAGATGGAAAAATTGAACAAGAAACTCAGAAGAGGCAGAGAGAGGAGAACATACCAAGAGGGAGAGAGATGGAGCAGCGAAAGAAAAGTATATTCGATACAGAACAGTAAAAGGGGGGAATATAAAGAGAGCAAAAAGTAGGGAGGGACGACTTAAAAAGAAGATGAGGGAGGCATTGGAGGGATGTTAAGCTCAGACATGGATCCCCAAGACTTGCCACTGGAGACTGCCACCTTCAGGGGGACCTGAGAAACACAAACACACACATAAGAGAAGGGAAAGGTGTCAGTGTGTCAGCATACATGTGTAGATGTGGTTCACAGTGACCTACATTGATTTTCACTCACCTAAAGAAGAGCAGCTTAAAAAGGTGATTGATTACAAATCATAAATGCTTTTATTTTGGTAGTACAATATCAGCCAGTTGAAGGAGGATTTCTGAATCATCAAAAGAAGTGTGTGTTTTACCCACAACACTAGAACTTAAAAGTAAAAATAAAGAAAACAGGCAATTGAAAATGTGCTTTTCTTTGTCCGTGGTGCTGCTCTTCTCCCTCTGTATGATACTGTACAGTTTTTACTGTGTATTTGCTTTGGTCCCATGGCAACAAAAAAACCCAACATATTTGTTGAACAAAGATGGGTCCATTTACTCACCTTAAGATGGACTCCTTGGTGGTCTATGTGCTGAAGGGACTCCATGGTGCTCCTCACTAGAGCTGCACACAAAAGTACATGTATACACTGGTATTAATGATCATACGTTTGACCTACTAGTACATATATTTTAAAAAGAAACATTGTCCAACGCCATCAGTAGTAATGTGATTGCTAAATGCGAAATAAGTGCACTTTCTTATTTAACTGTAATATTGCCAAATACATATTTAAACATAAATAGCAAAACATATTTCAAGCATGTCTACTATTTTATATCAGATAAACTTCATCATACAACGACTTGGCGTCATAGGTACAGTACATTAGTGTCTTTGATACAAATGAAATATTTGATAACTGATACTGGATGACTTAAATTCACCTGCAAACTGTTCCACCTGGGAGTCCTCCACTTCGTACAGGAGCTCATCGTGGAGCTGCGCTATCAGCCTACAGATACAAACACATTCAGAAATACACTACATAAAAAACATGGGGAACATGTCCTCCAAGGATAAACCAAGAACTACTACGCAGCCGCTGTGTGCCCATCTATTTGAAGCATATGGAGTATATTTGAGCCTTCCTCCCTGTACTTAGCGTCCTTCTTCCCCCATCAAACTCATCTAATTCTGGTATATTTTGGCTCTTGGCATCGAGAGTGTTTACTCTAGCAGAATGTTTGGCGTGTAACAGCAGCAATAATTTGAGAAAAACTCCTCAACTCTACAAATTTAGTTGGCTGGTAAAATAGTGAATGTTGTTTATGTGTTTTGGCATGATAGACTCTTCATTAATATAGCACTTGGCTGTGTTTTGCCTGTGTTAATTCAGAAAGGACGACAGTGTGAAGAACCAGTGTGTACATCGTTACTTCAGCTGTATGAAGTTGAGAGAGTGACTGATCTTCAGTCAGTTGCGCCATGTTTATTGGTTGTACCTGGCAGAGAGCGAGCTGGAGGACGAGACCAGGTTGAAGATCCTGATCATGGCCATCTTACAGAGATCAGCAGCAGAACCTGTAGACACACACACAAAATCACACACATACGAGAGCAGTCGATAGCAAGCTAAATTGCCACTCTGGTCATCAAAAGTAAAATAATGAGGTTCACCCAGATCATCAAACAAGCTCATAGTATTGCACAGAACTGTCACTCATCCTACCTTGGACCACAAAGTTGACAGCTTGCCTCTCAGCCTGCATGCGGATGCCCCAATCGGGGGAGTGGATGTTAGGGAGGGTCCGTCGACGACCCATGATGGAAAGCACATAACCTAACAAGATATTTAAGATTAAATAATGAGCAGTCGTCATTCTGAGCAGAATTTATGTTTGGTGTGATCGCGGCTTCAGTCGAGTTTGAGCAAGAAATTTGTCTTTGAGGGCTCTTTGTCTCACACAACCACGCTTGAATTGGGATTTATAGTAGTAATATCCATTCAATATAGCAGCTATGCTACTCCCTCAATATTCACTGCAACCTGAAATCACCAGTGGTGTAGTTTACTTTGAAGTAGTGAAATGTGATAACACAAAGTACTTTTTGGGAACTTGCTTTTGTAGATGCTGCATTTGGCTAAGAATCTGAATTTCTTTAATATAAAGAAAGTCATTTCTTTCTTTTATAATCATACAGAAGCCAATTATGACATAAAATATCAATATCATCAAAGAATGTAAAAAAAAGGAGATCGATGCACCCAAAATAGTCTTTTTTTAAATTCCAGATAGTCTTTATTTTCAAAACTTGGCTCCTACGTTATCCACAGTTGCAAATAGTTTGGTCGGAGATGTGTGTGTTATGTTATTAGGGGCAAACATAGCCTTGAGCAGCTAGCTTCAAGCAGAGATGAGGAGCAGCCTACAGATGTCTGGAAACTTCTACCTTCAGATTGTTTTCATTTTTAAACTCGTAGTCATCAGACCCAACGGAGTGACATTGCTTGAGGACATTCAACAGACTTCACACAGCTCTCTCTGGAGCCACAAAAGGCTTTACATAACTTGTTGTGTAGCATGGCATGTTCAAAAGCAGGCTGCTCCTCGAAACCCAAGACAAGTCCAAGTCAGGAAACCAAAAACAACTTAAAGATCAAAAGAAACCCCCGTCACTCCTTTCAGTCGAGTAAGTCATCCACAACAAAACACTGAGTTTCTAAAGCTACAGAGCGCCATTTGAAGAGAACAGTTTCATGAAAAGTCATTTGTTGATACAGCATTATAGGTGATTATGGTAACAGCAGGTTTACAATAACACAACCATACACCTCGCGCACAAACGCATGCACACACACACACACACACACACAAACACACACACACACACACACACACACACACACACACACACACACACACACACACACACACACACACACACACACAAACCCTGGTATCCACATGATTCACATACAAAGGCAAAGAGAAACACACTCACACTCCCAGTACAGTCACACAAACACACACTGGAAGGCAACACAAGAATGTGCGGTGACGTGATACGCACATTATACACAGACACACATTATCAAATGCAGGTATGCAACACACACACAGTCACACACACAGTCACACACACAGTGGACCAGTACATTCCACCAGCTGGACAATGGAGCAGGCTTAACAGCTAAATCCCTCTAGTATCCCTTACTATGAGGAAAGCCAACCAGGGCATGAAACCTGAATGACCCTCTTCCCAGAACACACACACACAAACACACGCACACACGCAAACACGCACAATCACGCACACAAGCATAAATGCATAGGAAATGAGTGCACAACAGATAGTAACAAACACAAAAAAAACCTTCCACTAACTGTGAATTGACCCATGACACATGCATGGGACCTTTTTGCCAGGAATGTGACCTTTGTTGTGGGGCCCAATGGCATGGATGTGCGGTCTACTTTGTGTCACACAAATGTTGTTTCCAAGTATGGACAGGTATGGACGTGAATCACACTGGAATGTGTGTTTTTCACACCCAGTGGGCTGTTTAGTGACACAGTGCTGTGAAAGCCGGCGCTTTTCAAGTTCAGAAAGTGGTAGTACATTTGATGGGGAGCAACGAGAGACACTAGGACTGGGAAACAGTTCAAAAGTATAATTTATCAACTTTCGGTGGTATTGCACTGATGATATTCAAAATGCTCTTACACCAAATTAATAATTATAAGCTAACTGTAATTAAAAATAAACAAAATTAGTTATTCAAAGCCCCGAAAACACATGTTCTCAATCAGCTTTTTTTTGACAAGTTAATCATGTACCTCGATGCACTAATCGAGATTCAGGATTATTTAATTTATTATTTTAATGTGTGTGATGGATCACTGTCTGTCAAATCTGATCAAAGCACTCCCACACAGTCCTGATGAAGCAGATTAGTTTTTAGGCGATAAACTCTTCATAAATAACCAGCCCGACATCTTAACAATGAGCTGGAACTTGTTATACAGCTCCATAAAACTGAGGAAGCTGCAGATTCTGGTGATAATTCTCTGTAAGGTTCTTCACTACAAGTGACCCTTTTCACACTGTCACATTGTTTTCAAACTGTCATTTGATACGTTGTTATTATAAATATATGTATTATGGCCACATTATTGATATAGAAGACTGTGTTCTACTGTTGTGCAGACCAAACTGGAAGCTCCTTGGTGTCTGGTCTGATTTTAATGAACAACAGTAGAACACAGTTTATTACAATCAACATACATTTTTATTGGTATTGTCATAATGATTTTGGCCATACTGTACTACTCTAGTACTAGGGTACTACAATATGAAAGATTTGTAGTAATCATTGGCCAGTATATCTGTCCTTCATTTAAAATTTAAAAATCTTGGTAAAGGTAAAAGTAAGGTTGGTAAACATTTAAAAGGAGTTGACTTTCCTCATCCTCTGTGAGTATATAGTGGTGACATATTGTAGCTGAGTATTGAGTACATGTGCCATTATCATGCCATTGTGACAGAGCGTGAGAGGCTGAAGCAACAGCTAAACTGCAAATCCTTTTTTTATTAATCAAAGCCTTTGCCAACTCCGCAGTTGAAATGTCTGCATGCGTATGTGCATGAACAATCAGACATCACAGGCAGGATGTGTTTATGTGTGAGAGGTAGCGCAGCAGGGTGTTTACAGATCTATGCAGATTTAGGCTTCCCTGCCTCTGCTGTGGCCTTCAGAAGACTTGGCCGGTTTTCATCTTTGTGATTCCCCCTGTTGTTTTTCAAACAAGAAAAAAAAAAAAAATCCTCCTCTTCTCCTCTTTCATCTCAGGGAGTCTTTACTAGCGAAGGTACAGCGCTCATCCCAAGAGCATTGATGAAATGTGCATATGAAGAACAACAGGACAGGCTTAGCCAGAGTGATGGCTTTATTTCATTTCAAAATCAAAGACAGCGAGTGTCAGAGTTTGAACCACTCAGATAAAGCTCATTTATTGTAGTTTATATAATAAAAACTATCAAAATAAGTGTTTATTAATATGTGTTTGTCCTCTTCCTTTTGAGTTGTGACAGTTCTGTACTTCTTCCTCCATTACAGACACAGCTTTTTTCTTCTTTCCCCCCTACCTCTGCTGTTACACCCACACTTTGATACTGACCTCACCTTCACTTTGCCCTTTCCAATATGTTTCAAACAAATATGACAGAAGCTGAGCCTGCACTGTTCACCTCATATCTGCTCAGTCTGCCAGCATCAAGCAGTCCTGAACTAAATATTGCTGCATCAGATACCAATCAACTATAAACTTAGCGCGGAGTGGACAAGGAGCCCAGGCACATATTAATCTCTGCTCCCAGCAGTCACAGCAGCGCAGCTAAAATCTAGTGTGATACTGTATGTCTCCTCCCAGACAGCATAGATTACAGAGGACTATTTTATCGATCAGCTAAATTTCTGGTGTGGAATGAGGGAGGGAGAAGACACAAGGAAAAGCATGAGTGAGAGTAAAAGAAAGAGAGAGACAGGGATATGGAAAGAAGGAGAAGGAGAGACACATAAGAAACAAAGAGAAAGAGTGAGACAGACAAGAGAGTGTGGGACGAGCGGGATAGATATCACCATGGTGATGAGCTGAATTAAAGCCGACTGTTTGGCGCAACATCTCTCTGCCCCTGAGAACGAGGAGGCTGATCTGTGCGCAGCATTTTGGAAGAATGAGTCCATAGCGGCGCTTCGATTGGGAAGCCGACACTGGAGAAAAGGGGAAGCGATAGGCGGGGTGTGTCACCAGTAATTGGTCGCCGCGGGTGATGGAGCACATGTCTGTGCGTGGCGGCGGGTCAGTGCTTGTGACAAAGGTGTACGCCATCTCAGCCATGAAAAACATCTACTGCCCCGACCTAATTCTTGATGTTTACTACAAAAATACGGTTGTTTTTTGACAAGATAAAATGACTAAGGGCCTAGTTTTCCAGGAAGAAACAGCCTGAGAGAGTCGTTAAAGTAGACATTGTGGCATTTATTAGAACTGACACAACTGTCCCTCTTTTGTGGATTTCTACTAATTTGATTGGGGTATAATCGGTTTATACAGTAATTCATCGGTTGACGCATTTATTAGGAAGGGAAAAGGCTGATACACATAGGATAAAGATAAGATGGAATTACATACGAAGCCAGAGGCTGAGGTCTTAACCCATACAAAGGCCTCAGTGTTGAAGGTTGGAGGATCTGTTTTGGCAACCTCATCCCTCCGCCTGTCAACACTGGGCTCATGTACTGTGTGCAATGAGGGTTAAAGTGCAGACTTTACACTATTTTGTGTGAGCGCGTTTAAGTCTCAGGTGTGCTGCGTTGGCAGTTAAGTCCGAATATAAATAGAGTGTCCCGTCTGAACCATCACGCCCCTCACCCACCCACCCACCCCTCCATCCACCTCGTCCCCCTCAAGTATTGACCCACAGCAGTTTGTCTTATTCCTGCCAATGCAAGCAAATCTTCTTCTACAGCCAAACACACACACACACACACACACACAAATCCATAGAGAGCGTGGGTGTATGTGCGTATGGCTGAGAAATTCAGACTACATCGTGTATGTCAAAAGTGCAGGCCCTAACCCAGACGTACACACATTCATGCACACACTTTTGTTATATTTGCTGGGACATCTGGCTGTATTCTCCTATTTGAAATCCTTAACATTAACCCTTAATTCCCTGTAGCTTAACTGTGACTCTGACCCCAAACTTCTATCCTATAAATAAACATTTTTCTTTTGAATTTTAGGAAGCAGTTTCTACACAGTACGTGATGTGTTTCCAATATCTATTCCTTCAGGAGCACTAAGGCGCCAGATAACCTTGAGGTAAGGCTTCACAATGGGAATTTGAATGAACACAGACCTTGTTTGTGGCACTGCTGGATGGTCCTCTGGATGAACACCTGGACTTCTCTGTAGGTCTGGAGGAAGCTGTCCTGGAATCGGCTGGCCTGCTCAGCGCTCACCCCGAGGATCCCTGACAGACGCTCACGACCTGCAGGGAACGACATAATACTAACTTACATCAGGGAGAGAAGGTACGAGGGAGATGTGGATGCTGGGCAAATATAATATATATGTATAATATGAATACATATTATTTTTATCCATGATGATTCATTGTGTAGATTATAATTCCCTCATTTTCAGTATCTCCTTCACACATTTAAGTGTCACTAGAGCTGGATGAAAAGTTAATATCTGCAGTATGCTAAAGGAATAATTGGCTTTCTTACCAATAGTTAGACTTCAGGAGATTCTGGCGCCTAGCCATGAAATAGTAATTACGTAATTAAGTAATAAAGTAATCCTCCATAACAATTTAGCATTTTTACACTTTTGTACAGATTAAACAAATGAGATATGACGTGTTAATTGGTGAGCTTTAGAGGTGCTGGTAAGCAGATGTTGTTACCAGGCAGTTTCACCATTTCCAGTCTTAGTGCTAAATGAAACTAGCCGGCTGCTAGCGGTAGCTTCACATTTACCAAACAGATATGAGAGTGGCATCAATATTCAATCAATATATTATAGGAAAGAGCGATTAAGAAAATCCAATGTTCTGTGATGATCTGCATTTACATTTAAAGCTGACAAATGAACAGCCAGTGAATTTAAATGGAGCGAAACTACCTTCATCATGACTGATTGAAGGATGTGAACAGAGATGGGAGAGGCCGGGTGGAAGAGGACAAAGTTGAAAGGGGGAGAGTGAACAAAGGGCAGACTGGACCAGAGGGTAAAAGAACTGAAGAGAAAAAAAAGTAGAGCCAAGTGAAGGGTGAAAGATAGAAGAGGACAAGATAAAAGGAGGGTGGGCAAGGATCAGGACAAGACTGCAAGTAGGGTATATGTGTGTGTACAAAGAGGCTCGATGTGTGTGTGTTTGTGCGTTCCTGGGAAGTGTTAAAGGTGTACAGCCTGTAGCAGAAGTAGAGAAGCGGGCTATAAGGTTAGGAAGAGATCGATAGAGGAGAGTAGAGGGTGAGCTAATGGGTGCCGCAGTTACTGTGTGTGTACGTGTGTGGTTGGTGATGAGTAATATCATGCCAAACAGCCCGAGAGCTGGTAGGAGGGTTCACGGGGGGAGAGTAGTTTCTGCAGAGATTAAAAATCACCAAAACCATACAGCAACACCACACACACACACACACACACACACACACACACGGTGACTTTAGTGTTCTTTAAAGTCCTCCACTCCAAAACATATTGTTTTTATTGTTACTTCAGTTGGATGTTGGACCTTCACTGTGCAGAATGATGTGCAGAGTTTCAAACTAGAAGGCTGTTTTCACATTTATCTGCCGATGGAGGAACGTTTAATGTGTCTAAGTACGAGCAGGACTTTGTAACATCCCTGAGAATGGACATTTTATTGAGGGAGGATCATGTGTCAAGCGGTTAAACTTTTTAAATGAGAATATTTGTATATTCATAGATTCTGGAACTTCCAACGAGGGAAAAGAGTAGATGCAATTTTAAGATTTTCTTTAATGAGGTAATTCAACTTTTTAAGAAAAAACAGAATCAGGCACAACTACTTTTTTAGATATTTATATTTTTTAGAGTAGTTTTCTTATATTTTAAAACCTGTGTACAGGGGATCTTTCATGGGTAGCACTGGGATACTGACGGCATGCAGTATCATAAATATATATTGTGGAAATTCAATTGAGAAAAAGGAGAATTAATAAAATAACTATGAAAATGTCGGTTGTTATCAAAGTTTTACTCCTAAATTCAACCAGGCAAAAATAACATCTAATTCTTCCTAAAAGAGTAAATGTAAACCTTCACTGTTTGTACTTTGAATACATTTAGATGTTGTTTTTTGTATCTACAACAATGACAACGATGTTACCAACTTGGGCTTGATTTTGGAAAGTCAGCCTTAGAGTGGAAGACCTTTTTAATTCCTTCGAGTTGACGTGTCTGTCTGTGTGGCAGTTGCACAGTCGCTGTAATGTGTCATGGCGAGGCCCTTTTAGCAGTGTGGCCGGTTATGTGTGTTTCTGTGTTTGTGTTTGAGCCACTGAGTTTGATACGCGTTTACTGTATGTAACAGGGACGGAGAATGAGACAAAGCTGCCACGAAGATGTTGTGTAAATGCTAGCGAGCACTGACTCTGGGTGTGTACCGTATGAGTGCGTCCCTCTGTGCATGAAGCTCCGCATTCCTGCAGAATAGGGTCAGTTCAGGGAATGACCTTTGACCTCCGTTAATGATGCTCCCTGCACGTCTCTGCTTGTTTTTTTTGTTCTCTCCTCTTTCATCTCTCCTTCCGCAACCCTCTTATTAGTTCTGCCCTCTTAACTTCTCGAGCATTTTTTGGAAAGCTTCAGTTGACAAAATGCAAATCTGTTTAATCAGATGTAATGAATTAAATTCTGTCGTTTCTATTTAATCCTCTTTATTTTACACCTCTGTCTCACCTCCTTCATCCTACTTTTCCTCTCCCTCCATCATCATCGCTTGGCCTTCTCATTTGTTGACCCATTTGTATACATACGTACGTGTGTGTGTGTGTGTGTGTGTGTGTGTGTGTGTGTGTGTGTGTGTAGTACTGATCTGCCCCGCCTCCCTGGCCTGATTATTGTCTTGTGGAGAAAGCTTCCTTTTAGTATTTGGTTTCCATGGCAACGCTGCTTTCCACGAAGAGCTGTCTGTCTACGATGATCAGGAGCTCCTTCCATTCCTCTTCTCATTTCTCTCACTCAGCCCCACCCACTCCTCACTCTTCCCCTTTCCCCTACATTACTCTCTCCTCCCCTACCTCCCCAGTTCTTCTTCGCCTTTAGCCTACATTTCCTATATCTCCCTCTTGCTATTCCCAGCATCTCATGAGCATTTTTTACATCTCCATACACACACATATTTTCTCTGCATTTTTAGCGCTGACCTTTTGCTTTGTGAATTGTCTCTGCGTGCACCCCATGCCCCCCTCTACAGGTCTCAAATAAATAGCTTTTACACATTTACCTCATGGGCTGTTACTGTTGAGGTTTATTGAGTTTCATACAACTGACTCATTCCATTCATCAGTGTGTGTGTGTGTGTGTGTGTGTGTGTGTGTGTGTGTGTGTATGCTTGTTTTCTCCCACTGAGCTGTGACTCCTGCTTAAGTAGAAATACAACATACAACACTCCATCATCAGCCTGAGAGCGTCAGATTTTCTTCTTGAATGTACATACTCAATCTAAAGTGAGAGACGGCCACCGGCCCAGTTCCCTTCATGCAGATTCTGATGCAAATGATGCGCTTTAGAGTCACTGCTGATTGGTAAATTAAATCAAACATATCTTGTCATGATGTTGACTTTAGGGAGAATAGTAAATGTCCTGTGTTGATGATAATATATAGTGTCTGGGTCACTGGGAAGAGATGTATTCTATTAAACTACAACATATAAGGGTATGTTTATTTGTTACTTAAAGCAACAACAAGGAACTGTTATTCTGTGTTGAATCTGTTTAGCTGTATACCACAAGTTCACTTTTATAGGAAGTGAGCACTCTGAGTGATAAGATTTTTGTTTTTGGATTGTTTAAAAGTAGCAGATCACTTTAACCCTGTCCCCATGCATCCAAACGTTGTCTTTCCTGCTGCAAGAAGATGCAGATCATCATAGTTTATAGTGATCAATTTGATTTATTTTCAAAATAAGTTGAAAATAATGAGCCCTTCATGCACGTCAGAAGTCATGCGGATAGTTCTGTGTCATTAATTATGTATGATTGATTGTGTTTTGAACATTTGTTGTATTCTGGCACGATAGCAGTGTTGACAACAGGCTCTAAAGTTGTCAAAACTGTTATTATACCAGACTACAGGCTTTTTAAGATTAGCCAATTATTATAAGTCAGTAGCTTGTCAGCCTGGAGGCTATTTCACACCGGACCATATGCTGGTGTGGTGATGTTGTGAGAGCATATGGAAAAAAACTGTAACTCTACATAAGCATTTAAGTAGGCCACTGGCAATAAAACCTGATGAAGAGTGCAGACTGCCCGTAAAAACCTGCCTTCATCACACAGGTGAAAGCACAAATGCACACATAAACATGCTCAAGTTTTGTATGCTGACATGGCCACATCAGGTCCATATACACAACACATAACTACACACATCGTTAGTGAACATTTTAAATTTGCTTCCCCCAGCTGGCCCAGATATTTGTTTGGTCTCCTACTAACTTGCATCACTCTGGTTCAGTGTGTGCATAATATGTGTGAGCGCGTGTGTCCACGAGAGCATGCATATGCGTGTAAACCATAAATGGGTCACAAGTGACACAGAACAAGTCTCTTTACAGGCCACAAGGGTGTATTATACATTCATCTTCTTCTCTCTATTTTTATCTGCTCCTGCCCCTCTACCCCCCCCATCCCTGTGTCCGCCCTGTGGAATCAGGAATGTGATCCACCACATGAAATAAACTGAGGAAACCGGCAATGTCCATGGAGAAATCACTGGGCATTTTTCTGTAAAGATAACTGCGTAAAATACATTACTGCCCACTGCTCTGTGAGAGTCTGCCTGTATGTGTGTTCGTACTCACCCGCACCGTACACAACGGAGTAGACAATACGTTTGGCATGTTCCCGGTCCTCAGGAGTCACCTCACCTTCACTCACCCCCTTCCTGAGTGAGATAAACACAGTGTGCGAATCAAATGATCAAAATGAGAATTAACTGATGGTACAATTCAGAATTAAGGTGTTTTTTAAAGGGAAAACACACACAAGGATGAAGTCCTTGGTGGATAATTCCCAAACAAAATGGAGATACAACATTGTAGAAATTGTAGAATGAAGTAAAAAGTATGTAAGTAAGGTATGATGACCACTTTGTTGCCTGGTGGGATGTAGAGAAGGTAGAAATATGAGACAGAAGAGTGACACAAGGAAGGAGAAGACAGGAAAGGAAAAGGACAGCAGATAAGAACAGAAAGAAAAAATAAAGAGAGAAACAATGTGAGATATGGAGGTTAAAAGGACATAAAGTACCGAGAGACAGAGGGACTAAACAAAAGAACAGAGACAGAAGGGGGGGACAGAGAGAGGAGAGGAGAGAGAGAGAGAGAGAGAGAGAGGCAGGGATGGACAGACAGAGACAGTTATGTAATGTGACTTGTAGACAGCAGTAGTACTGGGGATCAGACAGGGTGGGATGACACGTCTGCAAAGTGGCATTTCTGGAGGGGCTGACAGGGAGCTGCCACTGTTCATCAGTGTTGAGAGTGCACGCACGCACACACACACACACACACACACACACACACACACACACACACACACACACACACACAGAAAAATTATAAACGTGTCTGGTAAGCTTCAAGACTCCAGTGCTTCATGATGTCAGACGTCTTGATGCCTGTAGCCTCAAGGACTTACACTTGAAATGTATTTCTACTGTTCTCTCTCTGTCCTACGAACACACACACACACACACACACACACACACACACACACACACACACACACACACACACACACACACACACACACACACACACACACACACACACACACGACAGGTTAAGGTAAATGATGGGCACCTATAACCTAAAGTGGATGACCCCAAAGTGAGCATTTCCCTTCACTGTGCATCTGGCTGAGGGGATATCCATACTGGATTTTTACTGCCCCCTGCTGGAGAGGCATTATTCTTCCCTACTGTTTTACTACATCAGGTACATGTCACATTTTGGAACTGAAACAAACTTCTACATTTGTTAAAGGCTTTCATAATATTGGCTTGTTGCTGTAACATGATAGTGTTTGCCAGTTTACTGCAAGTTGAAGGACAAAAAGCTAAAAACAACAAGTAGGAGATTGTTCTCTACAGCTTCAAAAGAGAGTTCTGTGTATAATAAAGAAAAACTAAATAATATTCAAAGTTACAAAGAATCCTTTTTGGAGTAAGAAGAAAGCTTCTGGCTACACAGGCCATTAATAAAAGGCTTTTTAAATTTTTTACCCTCTGAGCTGTTTTCAACCAGAGCAACTGACAGATCAGTGGTATTAGTGGTAGGAGAGCAATGGGTCACTGTGGGAGGAAGAAAGAAAAAGAGGGTAAAAGAAGGAAAAGAAAAAGTGAAATTAACATATAAAAGAGTGGCGGAAATTGAGGGGAAAATGTAATTAAGATGGAAGAAACAATTGTTCAGAGGAAGGACATAGAGGGCAAGAAGACCATTTGAACAAAAAGGCAAAGAAAGAAATATAAGACTCTAAACTACAGGCAGTAAAAGAGAGAGAAACAGAGGGTCCAATAGAGGAGAGTACGTCGGAGTAATCCCAGCAGAGCTGCAGTGACACCAGTTAATTTGTTTAAAGGTGAAAGAGAGATAATGAAAGAGACACAATGTAAAGCCTCAGAAGAGCTGTTAATATGGTCTGTGTGACCAGGTAATCTGTTTAACCGGCCGCCCTCTGCCATACACTTGACTGAGATGGATGACAGGACAAAAGGTGGATCACTGGGACGCACACGCAGCATCGGAAAGACAAGACACACCTACGTGTGAACACCGACACACACTGGCAACACGGAAGACGGAGAAAAACACACATACACACTCACAAGTACTTCAAAAGAGCGACAATGTAATCACCAGGGCGACCAGCAGCCCAGAGGTGTCCTGCCCGTGGAAAAGGGAGAGCGAACGAGGCAGTTGGCACGGTTGTCATGGCAACAAGGTTATTAGCGTTTGAAGTGAAGGAGCCGGCAGTCTAGGAGGGGGCAGGGAGAAAGAGAGACCAGGAGAGAGAGAGAGAGAGAGAGGGAGAGGGAGAAGGAAAGGAGAAACCCTGCGGAGCATCAACACTCACCTTGGCAAGGAGATCAGGGGAGAACCAGTGTGTGTGTGTGTGTGTGTGTGTGTGTGTGTGTGTGTGTGTGTGTGTGTGTGTGTGTGTGTGTGAGAGAGAGAGAGACCTACCACTGAGAGGCCAACATGGTAAAGACATCCGCCTGCGGGTGGGTGAAAATGCGGAGCAACTCAGGGTCAGAGGAGAGGTGAGCCAGCAGACGCAGCTCCACCTGGCAGAAATCTGACACACACAAACACCCACACAAAAATACCTTCTTAATGACACATTACTCAAATTTCACACCCAAAATTATCACCTCATCACAACACTGACATTTTGGGGAAAGAAGCTTATTCGTCTTCTTGCTGAGAATTAGACGAGAAGGTCGATGCTGAACTCTGAATACTGTTTGTATGGTGGCTGTGTAGCTGGAGCCAGCAGCCGGTTAGCTTAGCTCAGCACAAAAGGGGGGAAACAGGTAACCTGGCTCTTTCCAAAGGTGACAAAATCCACCAACCAGCACTTCTCCTGGAAGTTTGTTTCATGTGCAAATTAATCAGCAAGATATAATGTGTTAATTAATGAGCTTTACAGGTGCTGGAAGGCAGATCCTGTTACCTTTGGCCAGAACCAGGCTAACAGTTTCCCCTGGTCCTCTTATAGGACAGTTTGTGTCACATAAGCAGTATATGTGTGCCGTAGAAGAAATGTCCAAGTGAAGGAAGATTTAGGGTTCAAGAAGTTCAAGGAATTCTGTATTGTACCCTGTCTTTAATACACAAACACTACAATTCATCAGACATTTGAGGCACATAAGGTATTATTTGCCAAACTACAATTTCGTTGCACTCGCTGCTCCTCAAACTGCCATCTTCACTTCATTTAGTCACTCCCAACACTTCCCAGAACAACTTTAAATAAACCTACAGAGAGTGGGTGTGAAATACGGTGCTCGCATTTGGTTGTAAGTCATACATTAAGGTGAAGAGAGCAACAGCAAATTGCGACAGGAAGAGTAAAAAAGCGAGAGCTTCGAGTACAGAAAGAAAGGTCACCGTCTGTGGAGAAATTGGTGTCTCTGCCTCCTACATGTTTCCACGTGTATTACTCTTGATGGCAGTGGAAAATGGGTCTAGAGAGTAACGGCTCCTTTTTTCACTCAGTCACCAAAAAGCATGACACTCACTATTGATGTTTTAGATGGCTGAACAATTTTGTGCAATCAAACTCGATTGTACCTGAGCTGGATGGAAAACCTGACAATTTTTTTTCAACAGTGGTCAAAGACACTCACATACAGCAGCTGCTAATAGACACAAAGAAACACTTGTATTTTGTATATAAATACTCAAAGCACTACCAAGCTACATCATCATTCCTGTTGTACTGTAATTATTATCAACATCAGTATCAAATATCATGATCGTCCTCAGAGATATATGATGATATATGAAACAAAAAACATACAAAACAGTCAGATTGACCATTAAAGTATTCAACTTTCACTTTTGCATACAGTTAGTACATTTTGTTTTGTTCTTTTACTTTTTTTTTTTTAAATAGAAAAATAATCTCAGAGTATAAATTGGATATCTTGGTCTGATTATCTTAGAGCAACATGATAATCATTGTAAGCGTTTTGTAAACACACGATCAAACTGATTAAATCCAGGGTTTTAACGTGAATGTACGCAGGTGAGAAAAAGCTCATAATAGAAGCTGACCCTGTGACGCACATTGCAATTACATTACTGCATGTTCTCCATCTAACTCTGCAACATGATCTTCTGTGAATGCATCAGTTTGATCTGACACAATGTTCTGTTCTGATGTTCCTTTTTGTTTTATTCTGATGTTGAAATTGTCATGATTTGGATCTAATTTGTCACATCCGTCTCAAAGTAAGCTAATGCTGCTCTCGCATAAATCCATGTGAAGCTGGGTTATTAAGGAAAAGTCACGTAACTTTGAACCACAAAAATGCTGTTATTAAACCTTGATGTGACTATTCACAGTGACCTGAGGATTGTGTGAATCTAAATGTAGCACCTACCGGCTAAGCCTAAAGGAACAGTTCACTAAAAGGTGATAAAACCTTTTTTTTGTTGTTGTTCATTTAGCAGAAAGAACTTTAAATTCCTATATCTCACAACGCAACATGTCATCACCAAAACTGTGTGGACACTGACTTTAGCACAGCTCTCTACACATACTTGCAAGTACATGTGACTAATGAACAACAGTTAAGATCAATGATTGCATTTAGGTACTGTGACTATTAATATATAGAATAGTTAGCAATTATATGTATGTTTTCATGATATCTTGTATTTTTCTATTGTATTTTTATTTAATGTGCATTTTCTTATCTATTGTGGTGTGTTGTATCTGGAGCTGCAGGAACAGGTGAATTTCCCGAGTGTGGAATCAATTATCTTATCTATCTTGTCTTATCTGATAGGATGAATTTCTAACGAGCATGTTTATGTCATTAAGTGTCATTAACACTTTACTTTTAAAAACAATGAAAAACAAATTATGGGAGATTTTGTGTTTTTAATAAATTATTCAAGTAAAGTGTGTTTAAACCTTTCATATTAAGTTTATTCATTTAAAAATATATATATAATATTTCTCTTTATTATTATTATTTGCTATATATTTATCTGATACTTTTTTTATATTAAATATTTCATGTTTTGTTGCTTATTTAGGGTTGTTGGGCCTGATGATATATGTTGTGGGTCTGTGTTTTTCAGGTTGTATGGGTTTAATTTTGTCTTTTGATTTGGTGTAATGGTGAAAAAAGTAAAAAAGAAAAGAGGAAAAAAAAAACCAAAACAGTTGATGTCAATAGGGAGACGGGACAGGAATGTGTAATTGCAGGACAGACACACAAACACTTGTCTAAACAGGCTTCGGAGACCAAATCGCCTCTGAAATTTGCCCAAGGCAGAGAGATAACCAGAGGCAATAAATGAGACACACTAACAGACACATAGAAAAAAAAAAACATCTTCACAGAAACTCTGTCTCCCCTAAATACAGACTACAATACACCTGCGTATACAGACACACACAAACAGGCAAACAGGAATAGGGATAGACACATAGAGAGAAGAACACACACACCTCTTTGTGGCAGGTGACAGTGTGTTAGGATGTCATGTCCTGTGCTGACAGGTCTGCAGTTCTCTTGTCAGCTTGGCAGATCTACACTGAAACATCTCTCAAGACTTCAGTCACACGTACACACACACACACACACACACACACGAGTTTACACAACGAAACGCCGACACACACACTTCTATCCACACCCACAAAGCAACTGCGGTACATTCCATTACTGCCATTTCACCCAGACACATCTCCTCTGCTCAGCTGCACCAAAATCAAATTAAACCCGACCAAACGCAGGGAAAAAACGACTCAAAATGGACGGGTTGGAAATTTGAGAGATTTTGTGGATAAAGCAACTGGCTGTAATAGGTTTCGGCTAATGTGGGAAGAGAAAGAATGATGAAGGCTCATATCAGCCTTACTGAAAAGGGGAAGAAGACAATTCACAATGCAGGTTAAAACAAATACCCTCTACCATTTAAGCCAGGCCAGCCATAGATTGCAGAGGAAACATAAAAGGGACAGGGAAAGGGAGAGACTCCAGTGGGATGGATAAAGAAAAGAAGATCAGGGTGGAGGGGTGATGGCGAGCTGAGCAATGGAGGAAAAAAAATAAGTCTGCTTTTTGGTTGTGATGAGGTGAGGAAGGGAGTTTCTAAAGATATCTTCCCATCAATGTTTTATGAGTCAGATCACATTTCCTCCAAGCATGGCCGGCAGCTTCAGGAAACATATTGCTGACTAGGATCTATGTTTGTGTGTGTGTGTGTGTGTGTGTGTGTGTGTGTGTGTGTGTGTGTATGTGTGAGTGTTTTCCTTCGTGCATATGTGTGTGTGACAGAAATAGAAAGGATGAGAGAAAGAATATTGATATAAAGAGATGTTCGTGTATGACACAGAGAGCAATAATATGCTGCTACATATGTGAATGTGTGATCTTGAGTCAGTGTGTGTGTGTGTGTGTGTGTGTGTGTGTGTGCGTGTGTGTGTGTTCTCCAAGGCCAGCTTCTAACAGAGATTGTCTCTGTGATAAAAAAAAAAAAAAAAAACACACACACAATCAGAGTCCTTGTATTGATCCATACAGGAATAACTCTGACCTACAGGAAGCTTCTCTATGAGTTAACTCTTAAAACTGAATCAGCTTGCTGCTATTTATGACCTTCAGCTGAGAATATATACATTTAGACGCTAGACCGGGTCTGATTGATTACAATACCAACTATTAATTAACTAAACATTCACTATTGGTTGCCACTCACATGTGATCTGATTTCCTAAAAAAAGACCTACTTTATCAGTAGACATACAGAATATGGTACTGAACCTACTGCTGATTGACAGAAAATCATCAATGGGAATTTTAATCAGTATAACTTTGTGTTAAGGTTATCACTTTGGGCTTTGGTAACTTATGACAGGTATTTATCATTATTTTTAGAAACAAAAAATGGCCAAAACCTAATTAAAAATAACTTTTTTCCCCCTATTGCAGAGAAAAAAACTAACAAAAAACTTTTCAACTCCAAATTTGATGTTCCTTTCAAATGTCTAGGCAGCATGGATATACAGAACAGGGTCATGTATTACTTGAGATCACAAAAACAATAAATAAAACGGTACTAGCTCCTGCAGTTTCTTGGACAGCATACAAAGATACTGAGGGGACTAAGCCATGTCTCATACATTGTTAATGCCACCACCCACAGTACCCTGAGCAGCCCTCAATGATGCTATGCGGTACAGTATGGAGTATGCAGGTTACGGATAAAAGCGTTAGAGCTCAACTAAAACCTGCACAGTGAGAATATGAAATGGCCCCTGTGGGTTGTGGTGGGTCTTAAGAGGCTTCCAGGAAGAATGAATCGACCAGCACACAGACAGGAGTGATCCAGGGATATAGGTCGAACTGGATTGTGAAAGTTTAAGTTTAATGGGAGAAATTTATACCATATATTCCCTGTACTTCATATCTAAAACCTAGGAGGACTACAATGGAGAGAACACAGTTCCAACTGAAGCCAGGATTTATTACAGAAAAACAGCTGTTAGTCTGAACTCAGTAAAGGTCATCTCTATAAAAGCAGTGAGAGTGAACCAAAGCATTAGGCTACAACTGCTGGAAGGACAGCTTGAAGTAATATGTGGGAACAAAACAGTGAGTACCTTAGATGACTTAAGCTTACTTTCTAACACTTTTGTTTATTATATTAGTGCGATAACCCTGGATTGTAGATGAGGTCAGTAGACTATCTACCAAGCATACTCCTAGGGGTAAATCCTACACATACCTGTGCATTTACAGTATTTTGTATGAATACTTTGTTCTGATGAAGATCAGCAGGCTGTTGCTGCACTATATGACATGTGGCTTGTGAATCGTTTTAGCCTTTTTCTTGCACCAATAAGAAAGTCTGATTCCTATCATGATAACAAAGCTCATTCTGCAGCTGCAGTTAACACTTTTGGTTACCTTCACCTTTAGCTAACAGCCTCATCCTGTTAGGTGATGGTAACTGATATTTGTCAAGTGGCACTTGTGTATGGTAGAAACATTATTTTGCACTAAAAATCTTGTTATTTTAATAACCACACCACTTACACAACATATGTTGCTCTTTACAAATGCAGCACACTGTGTTTGAATGTGTTTTCCCAAAAGTATCTTTTTCTAAATATAGGCTAGAGGTTGAAAAATAAACAAAATTTAAAAACTGAACTAAAACTAACAGGGTTGATGAGAGAATTAGTTCTCTTTGTTCTCATTTTGGCTAGCTTCTCTTTTTCCTGTCTCAGTTCCAGCCCCCACACACCAACAGACATCTCCCAATAGAAAATAATTGAGTTGAAAATTGCGAATACAAACAAACAAGCACACACACACACACACGCACACACACACGCACACGCACACGCACACACGCACACGCACACACGCACACGCACACACAGGCACACGCAGGTTGCTTGAGGACGGGGAGGGTGTTCACAATGTACTATAAAGAATAGTGTTTTATAGTTGGTAAAACAGACGTCAGGCATTTTCTTTAATAAGCCATGAATTGGATTCTTCTGAGTGGGACTGATCAACAAACACAGCACACACTCAAGACAAAATCTATGTCATACCCACACACACAGACAATGCAAACAGGAAAGTAACATTTAGATACATAATACCTTTTGACATGCCTCTGAGTTGAACTTTTTGTAGGGACACTGGAGAGTGGTAGTAGTTGACACACACACACACACACACACACACACACACACACACACACACACACACACACACACACACACACACACACACACACACACACACACACACAGTCGTTCCAGTTTTGGAAGGACACTGTAGGACATAAAGGGGACAACTGGGCGAGGGCTCCCCTTGGAGGGGTTGTTTCCATGGCAACGTGGCCTGAGTGCTCGTGCGTGCGTTTGTGGATGCCTGCCATGTTGTGTGTATATGTAGGATCCTCGCTCTTATCCTGCTGCTGTCCTCCTGCTAACCCTGGTTTATCTGTCTGGTTATGTAAGTGTGCGACACACTGTCAGGGCCAGCAGACACCCGGCGTTCCCCACAAAGCTCTCCCAGGCTGACAGTGTTCCAGCTCTCCCCTCAGTCTGCACAGCATGGACCAGTGTTACACCCTCAAGTGACCTTATGATGCCAGCTGAGGTTGTGTCAGTGTAAGAGGGGTTTTTTAAGTTAACAGTTACAAACTTGGAAAGACAAAGCTAGCCAAGGGAAACCATTTATGCTGATCTGCCCATGCAAGTACAAAAATAACAATTGGAACAACTTAAGAAATCATAGATGACTTGTTAAATTGGTCCCGTGTCGGACCCACATATGCAATTTTTACATGTACTGCTGCTAAAACAGATGCTCACACACTTTTTCCACAAGGCCGAACCATGAAAGATGAACTAATGTTGCTGTGACTGCAGTTCAGGAACATTTGCTCTCCCTTCGGTTTAGTGAGTCGCTGGGTCAACAGTGAATGCAGTGACATGCCTGAGCAGCTAATTGCTGCTGAATCAAGAGTAAAATTAATTTGCGTCAAACGTGTGCAGTGGTTAAAGTCTATGCGTGTGACTATTACTTGTTATTGTATTAAACACTAAAAGCATTTTAGGTATGACTGACAGCATTGAGTCAAACAATGTAGTTAAAATAAAAAACAACGGACTTCCTCTAAAAGACAGCTCTGCAAAGATCTATGAAAAAAAGATTTTTTAAAACAATTGAAAAATGCTTTTCTCCTGCAAGAAAATACAGACAATCTGAGCCTCATTACTTTGTATCTGATGGGGTGACAGGAACAAAGACATGCTGTATTTTACTTTTTGTCCTACCTGCAGCAAGAAAGGTCCATCCTTCCTGAGGAATGAACATTGCCCGAGGATGAACGCTCACCACCTCCTCCTCCTTTCCTGTGGGAACCAAGCACAGACCCCTGAGGAACACCTCCGCAAATCATCCCTTCACTGCAAAGTGCGTGCTACTTCCTCTAGCAACCTGTTTTCAAGTTTAGATTCTATTTCTGAATATTTTGTCTGGTAAAAGAAAACCAAAGCCTGTTTCCAGGAACAAAAATGTTCACAATATGCAATCATTTACACAATTTGAAATAGGCCAAATAGAATCTTATTCAAGAAAAAACACATTTCAAGAGATGAAAACACGTTACTATTAACACCATTATTTAATGCTGGTATATTTATAACATCTTCTTTTTTCATTTTTGTTTTTAGGTCTATACTTTTGAAATATATTCTTAAATTCACAAATAGTTAACACAGATTTAGGTTTATATAGATTATACATTCTTAAAATCAAAATATATAGTATTTAATAAACAATAGCAGCTTGTGTGCAATGTGTTACAATACACTGAAAACCACACACACACACTGAGCTTGTCACAAATTCCTTCTGTAACTGTCATGCTCTAACATTTCTAAATGATGTTATTAGAAACGCTGGTTAGGGGCAATGCAAGACAGGGTTTAAATTAAATTGACCTTCCACAAATAAGCAGAGCATCTCGTCAAGTAACATATGGATTTCTTTCTCCGTGCATTTCAATACAAATTTATTGACCAGACACATAGCAGAACACAGTAATTTATTTCTCATATCCTGTGTGTATTTGTGTCCTCGACAGAGAGAGCCTGCACAGAGAGACTCAGAAACACCGACAGTGAGCGACTGGGAGCAAGAAGGAGAGCTAACTGACTTAATGAGGAGTTGAGTTTTGAAGCCGCAACGCCCCATTTAGAGACAAATCAAAATCCAATCAGGATCCGTTTATCACTGCACTCTCTGCTTTGAGGAGCTGGACTGAAGTGCTGACCTTAGTGCACGAGAAATTATGGGTAACCATCATATCCCACGTCAGCGTGATAAAAACTGGTCATCACCACTACAGCAGCACAAAATGTAGCCTCACATACATACATTCACATACTTGTGGTACACTGTAATCAGTTGTGATTAGGGGATCACCTCTCACGTCAAGACACAAAGCAATAACTAATATGGGGATGGCAGAGAGAGAAGGAAGGATACTGATGGAGGGCAAGAAGAGATAATATGAGGGATGTAGCAGAGGGAGAAGAGGATTTGATGACAAGGACCTTTGGGTGAGTGAGGAGCAGAGGTGCTGATGTTAGCACCTATGAATCACTAACAGACAATGACAGAGAAAGGAAGATAGAAACACAGAGAGAGCAAAGGGCATAAATAGAGCTGTAAGGCTGAGTGTGGCACCGCTGGCTGTGATTGACAGCAGAGTCGACCTGGCTTTGCCAACAGATGGATAGACTTGTTTGGATGTTTTATTCATCTGCAGAAGTGAAATTTTGTTTTGGTCACACCAGCTAATCCGCTACCCCTGGAGCAGACAAGTATTAAACTGAAGCCTTCCAGATAAGCAATGCCCTCACAAGACCAAGCTTTAATTAAGAAGCTGATCATTTGTCAAGTGGTGCCTGTGCAATGACAGCCACAAACCCATGACATCATGGCTGGATGAAGTAAGAGTTTGGTGTATGGATGATGGGAAAATCTGTTCACTCCACTGCTCCATAAAGTAATTCTACTGAACATTAATATCAGGCAATAATCAATGTAAGCTTTAAGATATAATGTCTCTTAGATGTTAATTTTACATTCCTACAATTTAAAATTGTATTTATATGACATGTAGAGTAACTTTGTCACCATGCTCACTTAGAGCCTGACTGAACAGCTCACTGATTATAAAGAAAATAGAGTGGGTTCAAGGCCGAGCATGTTATTTTAGCCTAAGTCTGTCATAAATTACAATTTTGTTATAATGTAATTACTGTGAGGCTCTCAAGCAACTGTCCCACAAAATGAAGAGTCAGGCTGTTTTCCCAAACTGTTGGTGTGGCAGTTTTTATCAAATAATGACTGTGTGCAACTAGGGCAAGACGAGGTAATTAAAACTTTCTCCAAAGGAGGCGGGATGAAAAGAAGATGGGTGGTGAGAACAGAGAAGGAGTGATGGGAAAAAGAAAATCAAATCTAAGATTGACAAGTTGTCCATGCTTGTGTCCATATAGATAATGTTCTACACAAGCTTGTTTTTTAGAAACATTCTTCTCATGAAAGTAACCAGTTATACTGAAGTGCAGGTGAAAGACGGACTTGATGTTGCATACGTGATCAATTAAGCACAGCTGTTCATTTTCTCAGATGTTTAAATGGGGTACGCGTTCCCAAATCACCGTCCGCCATCCTTTTTTGTCCGACTTTAGTGTATACCAGGGGAAAGGATAAGCAACTTCAATACTGCATAATACTGCATGATTGAAAAGACTTAATTTAATTGTCAATTAAAAATGATGTTAAAACTATATAACTATACTTACTGTGCAGTTTTAAATATTGCCATCCTAAAATCAAACTCCTGGAGCACAACAAAAGAACTGCAGTGCAGAGCAGACAAACACAAATATGGAGGAGGCACCTTTGACACCTTTTAGTGACCACCCCTTTGCTGCTGCAGACTTTTATCATCCTCATAAACCCTCTTTACAAGCTCCCAGCTCATCAGTTTCTGTATGCCCTCATAGATGTCTCCCTCACCCACACACACAAACCTCGACATTTATCACTGTCTCATTCTCTAGAAACTGTGGGTGGGGTGTTTCTCCGTGTGTGTTTGTGTGTTAATGAGTGCATGTACACCTTACCTTGGATGTACTGCTTCTTGGTGATTTGAAGTGGCTGTCTCGGCAGAGCCTGGAAGTT